CACCACATATCTTTATTACGCTCCCATTGGGCGATTCCAGCACACCGTGTAACTTAATCGCACCCCTTGAGTTGGCGATCTTAAGCACACCCCTCATTTAGCTTTTCCGGGTCATTGTATTTGTCGTATTACGCTTACTCATTTGGCGCTTTCGGTTAATTTTACATCTTACACACGCCTTCTCTTTTGGCGATTCTAGTTCACGGTATATCTCAAGCACGCCCAAAGGACGTTTTGGTTCATTTCTTCGCGGCTTAAAAAAAAGGGGAGTTTGCCCCCCTCCCCCTCCATTTGCAAAGCTTCCGAGCCACCCAACATGAATATTATTTTCGCTTTTAACCCCCCTGATGCGTTTTCGTTTGGCTTTCTCCTTTGTGTGTCTTGGAGAAGACTTTTCCCGGCGACTAGTGGTACTAGTCGGGGGGTGGCGAGGGGCTCATGGGTGAAATATGATAGGGGGGCTTTGTAGTGTTGGATCTGGGCGAAGTATGAGAGAGGGGGTTGGGTGAAGTATGTAGTCCTCCAAATCACTGGGGTTGGGTGAAGTACCTAGTCCTCCAAATCACCTTCCAAATCACTCATGATCATAATGCTCTTTTCTTCGTTTTTAACCCCCTGAAGCGTTTTCGTCTGTTTTTTTTTTTGTTTTTTCGTTTGTGTGTGTTGGAGAAAACGCGGCTTAAGAGAGCGGGGAGTTTGCAGTCTAAAAACAGCGGGGGGTTGGGGGGGGGGCGCAGCCCCCCCCCATTTGCAGAGCTTCCATATCATTCATGAAAGAAGGGGGGTTTTGGGTGAAGTACGCTTGCAGTCTAAAATAAGCGAGGGGGGGTTGGGGGGCGCAGCCCCCCCCCCCCTCATCTGCAGAGGTTCAAAATCACTCATGATTCATGATATCTTCTTCGCTTCTAATCCACCTGAAGCGTTTTCGTGTGCTTTCTCCCTTGTGTGTGTTGGAGACTGGGGGGGGCTCGAGTCTTGGATTTGAACCAAGTATGAGGGGGCGGGACTCGTAATCTGGTTTTTGGTGATGTATGAAGGGGGTTACTTTTTTATTTTTTTGCGGCTTAACAGAGCAGGGAGTTTGCAGTCCAAAACAAGAAGGGGGTTGGGGGGGCGCAGCCCCCTTGCAGAGCTTCCAAATCATTCATGCTTAAGTTTTGTTCTTCGCGTTTAGCCCCCTGAAGCATTTTTGTGTTGCTTTCTCCTTTGTGTGTGCTGGAGAAAGGTGGGGCTTAAAGTCATGGATTCAGGGAGACTGTAAGGGGACGCCTCGACGTCTTAGATTTGGACGACGTAATTATAAGGGGAGGGGGATCTTAAGAGAGCACCCCCATTTGCACAGCTTCTGAATCACTCATGATGAATTTAAATTCTTCGCGTTTAACCCCCTGAAGCGTTCTCGTGTTGCTTTCTCCTTTGCGTGTGTTGGAGAAAGGGGGGCTTAACATCTTGGTTGTAGGAAGACTGTAAGGGGAAGGGGGAGGCTCGAAGTCTTGGATTTGGACGAAGTATGAGGTTGGGGGGGGTCGTAATCCTGGTTTTTGGTGAAGTATGAAGTGGGAGACGCTTTCATTAATTTTTTTCGCGGCTTAGCAGAGCGGGGCGTTTGCAGTCGAAACAGAGCGGTGGGGTTCCCCGAAGACTCCAAGCCGCCCCCCCCCCCCCGCCCCCCCATGGTCTTCCTAAATCCAGAACAACAACCCCCCCCTTCATAGTCTTCCTAAATCCAGGACTGCAGGCCCACCCCCCCCTCATCCTCTTCCTAAATCCAGGACTACCCGTTCGCCCGGGGGGATCCCGGGCTATTGAATCGGACTCGGAGTTACCGGGCCCAGACCCTAAAATGAGGACGTCAACATGGTTTCAAACTCAAACTTTCAATGTATTCAAACTTCAAACTCTTCAAACTTACAAACCTTCAAGCTCCCAAACTCTCAAACTTTGAACATCTCAAACTTTCGAACTCCACGGCTCTCAAACTTTCAAACTTTCGAAATTTGAAAACTTCAAACCTTCAACCCCCCAAAGTTTGACATTTTCGAAGTTTCAGTCTTCGAAGCTTTCGAACTTTCAAACTTCCTGGGTTTCAAACTTTCAAACTCCAAGCTCTCAAACTTTCGAACTCGAGCCTGAGGGCTGCTCTGTGAACCCCTACGCGTCTCCAGCGGTCCTTCTCCTTTTCAAACTTTCGAACTTTCGATCTTCGAAGCTTCACACTTTCAAATTTCCTGGGTTTCAAATTTTCAAGCTCCAAACTCGCGCCAGCTTTCGAACTCGAAACTCTCAAACTTTCAAACTTCAAACTCTTCATTCTCCAAACTTTTCAAACTTTCAAACTCTCGAATCCCGTCCAACATGTACTACGTTCAAACTCTCAAAGATTCGAGTTCGAAAAAACCCACTCGTGACACCTCTCAGTTATAAGTGGGCTATATGTCCCCTAATATGGGTTATAGTTACAGTTATCCTACTTAGAACCCCACTTATGACTACCCATGAACCTCCAAGCAGGGTTCGGGTCTTCCGAGTTTGGGGTTTCCGATGCCCAGGAGAAGTCTACGTCTTCCGCGCAAGGCCGTGCCTGCAGAGTTCAGCAACTCCCTGGCTCTTACTGGAGATGGTGGCATGGATCTTAAGGACAGTGCCTCAAGGTCCCCAAAAGCAGTCTGTATTACAACTCATTCCCCACACGAAAGAACCAGAGAGATAAAGGAGCCCAGCGAATAATTGGTCATAGTAATAATATCCCTTCAGAGTCCTTATTAATAGCCAAAGAACCCAAGTCTGCTTAGGAAGTCCCCGTGCATAAGCAATCAATGCAACCACATCAAACTCTTGTACAGCATTGGTTAACCAACGCCAAGGCCATTATCAAGGCCCCTACATTAGACGTTGTGGCTTCTTCGGCTTTTGGGTTTGGTCTTGGCTTCTAGGTTTTTGTATATGTGACCACTTGAGAATCCGTTTACCCATGAAGTGCGGAATGAAGTATACATGGCCTCTTATACACCACTAACACGGTGCAAGGCTCTCTCAACCCTGAACCCCAAACCCTGAACCTCCAAACCTAATATAGGGGCCTTCATAATTACCTATTGTTCGGGGTTCCTTATTACATGTATAGTATAATAGACCCCAAAACCCTATTCTAATTATTAAGGCCCCTACATCATCGTACCCTTATAGCATCCCCAGCAGTAACCCTTACAGAACCCTTTAAAAGGAACCCTTGATAGGGACCCCTATTCTCTAGAAAAGAAGACTTCAGAAGTACGTCGGCCAGGCGCTGCTGTCGCCACTCCGGCAAAAGCAGAACACAGCTGGACGGAGTTTCGAGGACTATGAGTTTCGGGATTGGGGGAGTTAGGGATGTAGGGTTTTAGGGGTTTGGGGTTTAGGGTTCAAGGTGTTTGGGGTTTAGGGATTTAGGGTGAAGGGGTAAAGTCCCATAGGGTTTGAATACTATACGGTAGAGAGGATTTAGGGGTTTAGGGTGCAGGGGCTCGAAGGTAGGGGTTCAGGTTTTACTGCCGCTACTGCTAATGCTACTGCTACTGCTACGGCTCCACCTCCTCCTCCTTCTCCTCCTCCTCCTACTTCTACTCCTGCTGCTGCTACTATTTACCACGACGACTATGACCACGACTACCGCTGTGCTAGCACTGCCTTTACTCCTCCTTGCGACGACTAGTAGTAGAGGAGAAGACGAAGTACGTTCTAGTTTCGTAAGTGATGCCACATGGACGTCTGCGTTGTAAGCACGCGACCTTGTCCTTCACGGCTGTCGGAGGGTGAAGCCGTGAATTTCTTTCTTGTTTCGGGTCTTCAGTGTGCATTCGGTTCTCAAGTTCGGGCACCTTGCCGCCATGGCAAGGACTGAGATTCCCAAGCATGCCTCATCACGCATTCCCCATGGCACACTTTACAGCAAACTCGTGAAGGGCCCCATCTTGTACGCGCTGCTCTTAGGAAGATGCCTTCCAAAAGCGAGTTGTGCAGGGTCTGGGGTTCAGGGTTTGAGGTTTCCCAGAGCCGCTTGTATGAACCTTTCAGCTTCCCACGAGCAACGGCATCATAACCGGTTGTCAGCCCACTGGACGGGGCTCAGCATCCCCGAAGCACCACAGCCAACAGCTCAAGTCCCAACCCGATCTGGTTTTAACAACTTCGGACGCTCACGATAACGATTAGCAACAACGTTCTTTTGGGTCCCGCTCAGAAGTAAACTGTCATGGAATCCAAAACGCTATTGTAATGATTAAGCTATGTTACGAGGGCGGACCTGGTGGTGATTGGACACTTCATCGCACAGTTTGCTGGCAGTTGTCAGGTAGTATCGGGGCAACAGAGTCATTTTTGGCGCTTCGTGGGTTGCCTTAGAACCCAGCCCGAAATCCTGATAAACGCGGAGGAGCCTGGGGAAAGAAGAAGAAGCCGAAGAAGCAGAATTACCAGAACTACCAGAATTACGAGTACCAGAATTACGAGTACCAGAATTACGAGTACCAGAATTACCAGTACCAGAGTTACCAGCCGAAGAAAATGGAGTGGCGCAAGGCAGGGTCACATCTTGCGGGCTTTGTGAAGCCGGCCAAACCCTAATCCCTAAACCTTAAACCTGGCACCCAAACCCAAACCCCTCAGCTTTGTACCCCAAAACCGCATAAGCCCTAAACCCCAAACCCTGCACCCAAACCCAAGAGTCCAAGGTCTGCACCCAAAACACCCGAAGCCCTAAACCCCAAACCCTAAGCCCTAAGCCTTGAGCCCTAAGCCCTGAGCCCGAAACCCAAAGCTTCCAACCCTGGGTTTAGGGTTTAGGGTTTAGTGTGAGACTGAATGTACGGGAGGCTCAAACTAGGGGGCACTACAGCACTCCCGACCCTGCCTTCGCACCAACGGTGCGCCGCTTTTCGCTTGACGCGCAGATGCCTTCGGAAACCTGCATCGAGAGAGGGGCTCGGGATCAGCACTTTACATACAGGGTTCGGCGAGACAAATCATACGATGAAGTACTCGAAAGGAAAGATGCTACCAAGCATAACAGTACCATCAAGTTTCACACTGGTTCTCTGTCTCACCGTCCTGTTGCTGATCAGAACCCCCTCTTGCCCTATGGCGAGAGGCAAAAGAAGCTTTGTTGAAATGCTGTCCCACCAGTCAGATGGGTTCTGGGGCTTAGTAAGGACGTCTCCCTTTTGGAGCGCTCCCGGTATCCATGCGATTGGCAGACTGTCGTTCCACTTCTCGGAGCGCAGCCCTTGTCGCAGAGCGGCTAGGTCCACAGCTAACCTTTTGTCGCTAGGCACCCTCGGGATGCCTTGCTTGTTCAAATGGTCGTATAACGACCTGCAGTCGCTCAGGCAGAGGATGGGCAGCTCAGCAGCGTCCACGGCCGTCATGACCCCTTTCAGCAAGGTCTCGTACATAGACCTCACATACTGTCCCGTCTCAAGTCCCTCAGCGCAGGCTTGGGTCTCCGCGCCGAAGGTGCTCCTGCAAACCCTTTGTCCCGCTCGAGACTTCCAGTCCGCCACATTGGCGTTCCCGGCCTGTCCAGCGAGGGCTGCCCTGTCGGCAAACATCACCAGGATCCCAAGCTGCGACGCGACCTTGGAGTTCCCTTTCTTGGCCTTCCTCACACAGCCGTTCGCAGATGGCCCCTCGGTCTGGAGGCCATCGATGTTCTCCTGCTGTGTGAGCACGTAGTAGTCTTCCTCGGGGTCTGCCTCCGGGACGTTCGCCCAAGCCGCATCGTGGAAGACGAGGATCATCAGGTTCCCCTTTGGGATCGGCTTGAACTCAAGTCCTCGCTCGCGGTACTGGTAGGCCTTCGTCGCGATGGCGTTGGTGAACTTGATGTCTCCATAGGTGGGAGCCTTTTGCAACTGCTGTGCCATACTGACGGAGCATGTCAAGTCAGGGCGAGTCTGAGCACTCATCCAGGAAAGAGCGCCTATCAGGCTGCGGTTGTCACTAGACAACTCTTGCGGAGCGGCCTCGCTGTCGTCGATGCCGGCAGGGACCTCGATGGTAAAGAGGCGAGTCTCCGCGTACTTCTCCTGGGTCATCTTGATGCGGTCGGTGGCGACCACGATCCTCGAACCCAGGAACTCGAAGTCATCGGCCTCCCAGGTCTGTATCTCGAACTTTCCGGCGAGCGCCTGCTGAATGATGTGCTGGAGCTTCCTTGGCCCGGCGATCAGCAGGTCATCCACATGACACCCCAAGTAGGCAACAGGGATGCCGTAGAACTCTTCTCCGTCCCACTTGCGCAGAGCAAAGACGCACGGGTCCATGGCGGAGGGCTCGAAGCGGTAGGCGTCGGTGTCCTCGGGGATCTTGACCTCGACCTCGTTGATCCCATTCTGTAGGTCCTGCCACCAGGTGTGAGGACTGGTGGCCAGGCCGAAGACATTCTTTTTGATCTTCACCAGTTGTCCTGGAAGCAGTCCAGGAAACCCGGTCTTTGGCTGGTGCATGTACAGTTCTCGGGAGAGGTAGCTTCCGGTGAGAAACGCACACCTTATATCTCCTGCAGCCAGCGTCCAGGGGTCTTCTTCCAAGAGGCCGTCCGCGGTCTTTTGGAGCATACAGGCGAGCCCGCTCCTGGACAATGTAGGGGCGTCCGTGTTCAGCCTGAGGTTCTCGTCGGTGAGGTCCGGATCAGTGTGTCCGGCGATCACAAGCCGGGATTTGCACTTCCAGGGTACATCCTCCCCTTCGCGTCTGCGAGCCCAGTTTTTGTCCTTGTAGGCCCACCTGCTCCTCAGAATTCGCTCGGCTGGAACTTCCCGGCGGACTCGATCGCTTTCAGCCACCGACAACGGCTGTAGAGCGTCAAATGACAGATGCTCATTCCACTGGGTCGCCTCTGCTTCGCGGAACTTCTCGTGGACCTCGGCCGGAATTTCCGACCACTTGAGCTCCTTCTCTTTGCGCTTCTCGAGGCCACGAGTAGTTAAGTGGGTCTTGAGCATCATTGCCTCATGGCGGTCTGGGTTGAGCTCGGCCGCCGTAGTCTTCCTCTTCAACCTGCGCTTCGGGACCGGCGTGGCATCTTGTTCACGTAGGGGTTCCAGCTCCAGGTCCCCTTCCATCTCCAGGTCGTCGACAGGTTGGTCGGCTTCGTCACCGGCCCAGCTCATCTCCTCATCGATGTCGCGCATGAGCTCCTCCAAGTCCTCTTCAAACGCCTCGTCTCCGTCGGGGTCGTGGTTAAGAAGCATTTCTGCTTCTTTCTGGGTCCCCTTCATCGCCAACAAAGCTCCCACCTCTTCTCCTGTGGTGGGACGAAGGTGTTCGGCTGAGGTGAGTCGACACCGCCCTCCTTTAGAAATCCAGTAGTTGCCGCCTTCCTTGCCGACGATGACCGCAGGGCCACTCCAGCATCCTTGCCGCCTGTTCTTCGGCTTGTGCCAGAAGTGCACGCTCTCCCCGACATCAAGAGGACGGGCCGCAACACGGGTCCTTTGTAGGAGGGCCTTGCGCAGACGGCCGTCGGTCTGGCTTTCGTGGAAAGCGACGCGGGCAGCTGCTCTCATGGCCGACTGCCTCTGATACTTGGCATCCTCGCTGACGTCCCACATAACGTGCCCACCGCCGTCGGGGTCCTGGAGATCTTCGGGAACCCTCGGGGCCTTTCCAAAGACCCATTGCGATGGACTGTATCCACACCTCCTGCGAAGGTCGTTCTTGGCGGAGCTGATAATCGGCACCGCCACATTCACTTCGTCCTCGCCGATGGAGAGCTGGTAGCTGATCTTCTGCCAGATGTGCTTCCACCAGGCCTGTTTCCGTTCAACAACTCCAGCCTGCCAGTGGCTTTGGGTCGCTACGCTCCGAACTCCAATTCCATGCCAGTCGCAAACACGCCCAAGCGCCGATTGCAAGCCGCCCTCCAGATCGATGACGACGGCTTTCGGGGGCCCGAACGGAACGAGCCACATCTCATTGAACTTAGCCTCGATGTCTTCGCCGGATTGGCCATCGAGCTTTACCACGGTATGGTAGGTGGTCCCGTAATCGACTACGGAGAGGAAGGCGTGCTTGACGTCGTCCGTGTCGTGGCAGAAGAACAGGTCGAGGCCCAGCGTGTCGTTGAAGTCGGCCATGGGTGGAATAGTGCTCGGACGCGCTATCTTCGGGGCCGCGTTGGCTTCACAGACCTGGCACCGCATTGACCTAGCTGCTTTCAGGACAGACTGGTCACAGCCCGCCAAACGCAAATGGCGGATAAGGTCCTCTTGTCGGGGATGACCCAGGTTCTGGTGAAGGCGACGGAGAGCTGTGGCCACCGGCCTCGGCGTGTCCTTGCCAAAGGATATTCCCGTCGCTCCCATAGCCAGTGCTTCGTTGTCCTGTCCCGGTTCCTCGGACGAGACCACTTTCACTTCATGAACTCGCCCGGGACCTTTGACGCGCTGAGTGGCCTCCTTGCCCTTAAAGAAGACCATGAAGACCTTGAGCCCGTCCTCGTTGCCATGCTGCTTGCAATCTAGCAAGCTAGGGTCCTTGTCGATGTGCTCGAAGAGTGTGTCGCCGGCCTTGCCGCTGAGCACCACGGTCCCTCCATCGTTGACCTGTTGCTTCATGAGCTCGAGGAGGGCTTCGTCGCACTCGGTGGACTTCCCATCCAAGTGAAGTCGCAGTTCTCTCGGAGTCCCACCGTTCACGATGTGGAAGGCGTCGGTCTTTCCTTCAGGGGAGCGGTAACGCTCCCATGTCATTGGCTCGAAAACATCCTTGCCCAGCTCGGCTGCCTGCTGGGTACTCTCCGTGTCGCCGATCTCGAAGAGCACGACCGGGTTCCGCTGGACCTGTGGATGGACGTGCTCGGTGAGGTAGTTCCCGGCTGCGGATATGAGGGTCGCCATCATCACGCTGATCCGGGCCGCATTGTTGAAGATACTCCGCCGTACACTCGCCCTCGGCTTGTTGCCGAGCTTGGCCTCTCCAGTAGAACGCCCGGTCCCTTTTGGCAACGGAAACCCGCATCTTCGCAAGAACTTCTTCATCTCGTCGCCGGCCTTGTAGAGGTTGCGGGTGGTGTGGTAGGTAACGGACCATCTGTTCCCACTCCATGCTTCCGTGCCGTGTTTGAGGAAGGGATCAAACTCAACAAACTTGTTCTTGGTATCGTGGATTCTCCCGGGCAGCCATTGTCCGGTTCCGGTCCTCCTCCATTTGACGCCGTAGGTGTCGCTCTCGGTCACCGACTTGTCCTCGATCCACAGGCCGCCCCCTTTTGTTTGTCCAAGCGAAACGGTGAAGTTCGCCGTGCCCTTGAGGTTGTTGAAGTCGTGGTGCACCTCAGTCCCGGTATTGCGCGACAAACTCACTGAAGACCAGGTGGCCTTGTCACCAAGGTGGTGCCGGGCGAAACCATTCAAGTAGCGGGCGACGTTGTCGTGCTCCCGGGTCTTGGTCGTAGTTCCAACAACGCCGCCGTGGGTGAACATCCCATAGGTGAAGTAGTTGACTTTATCGCCGGTCTTTCCGCCAAAGACACCGTCCCTTGTCGCCTTAACGGGGTCGTAGTCGAGGGTGTCCAAGAGCTTGCCGAGGGTGTTGAAGTCGAAGTCCTTGTTGAGGAGGGCCGCCGTGAACTCGTCGCGGTGCTGCTTGGTCGCGGTCTGGCAGGCAAAGTTCACCGTGTTGTTGACAATGCCGCGCTCAAACTCCTCGTTGGACACGAAGATCCCGTGCAGGCCGGCATGATAGTCGGCCCCGCAGCATCCATTCCTGTGCTCGGTGGTCTTACCGCCAAAATGGTCGCCGCCGTGCTCATATTGCCCTTGTCGATCTTCACGAAGATCATCAAGATCTCGCCGAAGTCGAAAAACGTGCCCTTTTTCATGAGGTAGTGGACGATCAGGTCGGTCGTGCCCTTGGCATTCTCCTTCATGTAGTTGTTGGCGCCGACCTTCTCGCTCGTAGTGCTTTGTCGTGTGCTCGCTTATGGCTTCCTCCTTGGCAGGGGCGAGCTCCCCACCAAAAGAGCGGCCCCCGTCGCTCACTTCCCGGCCTTGGGCGGTGCGGAGCTCGCCTTCGCTTTCTGCTTCAGCACCGCCAGTCTGGTTTCCAGGGCACGGATCTCCTCGAGGGTCGCGGGGTCTGCTTCCGCCTCCATCTCCGGTAGGTCGCCGTGGGGGTTCCCGCGCTTCGTGGTCCTCGGGTCGTGTGGTAGATCCTTGCTCGCGGGGATCGTCAGGTCGCGGTTCTCCACGTGTGAGCGGCCCTCGGTCACCACGTCCCAGCTTGTCCCCGACGACGCCGCCACGCTGCTGGTGTCCAAAGGGTACGGCACCGTCGCGTTCTCCTCGATCGTGCCCCGGTCGCCGTAGTGGGTCTCGTACTCCTTCGCCTCCCACCACTGGGCAAAACGAACAAGTTCCACATGTGGGTTCGGACTCATCCGGATCTCGCGCGCTGCCCACATGCCGTAGGACTTCGGCACCTCTTGGTACTCGTAGCCCTTGAACTTGCCGATCTTCATCAGCTCCGTGCCGGGCGTCTTCGTGTGGTCCCTGATGAGCCGGATGAGGTTGCCCTTCGTCACCTGGCTGGGGTACTGAACTCCCAGCTGGTCGGCTTTCTCCTTGAGCTTCGGCAGCGTAAGGCTGGTGACCGACTTCATCACCGAGGCCTGCTGTTGGTGCGGGTCGTTCATGCGGTGCTCCATGATCGTCGCCTTGATCTCTTCGCAAGTCCAATTGCGATGGACCACCAAGCCCACCCGGTTGCACTCGCTGAGGAGCTCGGCCTTGGTCATCTTCGAAATCGCCGGCGGCTTGCTGCATGCCATTTCCGAACGAAGGCGACGAGGGAAGGGGCGTCGAGCTAGATCGCACTTTCGCGAAAGAGGTTCTGCCAACCCAGAGCAGCGGAAAAGAGCTTTCATCACGATTGCACTTCCACTGATCGACTGCGGTCTCAAGCGGCTTTCCTGACCTACAACAGAAGCCCTCGGTGACACGAAGATCCCCGATCGACTGCAGGAGCATGCCCTTCTGCACGGTATACTGGGTTTTCCATGTTGAGGGGTTACACAGGACTCTTCGAGGAACAACATGTACACGAAACCAATTGTGCTCCCCTTCCAACCAGAAGTCAGAATTGATCTTGGTCTTCTCCCACCATGTCATAAAGGACACACTGCAGAGTTGATCGTGTGTGAGGAGCTCCTTGACTTCGGGGCTGAGTTTCTTATCATAGAAAATCCTGTACGGAGGGGCCTTGGTAGTCGATGTCGTTGAGGTAGTACTTTCGGTTATGCCCTTGGGTTCAGTTGGGCGTCGTTGTGAACTCGTTCGGGGAGAACCTGACAGCTGCTACTCGCGACAATGCAAAAGCCATGTATTGCGAGCTGCCCGAGGTGCAAGTCTCTCCGACAATAAGCCTCTCAGCTCCATGCTCCGGCTTCGCCGGGATAATCGGGATAGCAGGGTGACCGGAAGAGGTGGTCACCAAATCAAAGTTCCGGAGGCCCACTTTCGTGAAGTCGGCCCGGTTCTCTGCAACATCATAAACCATCCCCAACTGTGCTAAGGCTGGTTTCGACATCAAAAGAGGCGCGTCGCCGTTGATGATGGAGGTCTTCATCTCGACGGTCCTGTTCCCGAGGCGAAAACGAATGAGCACATGGAACAACGAGTGGTGTACCTTCCCAGTCCCAAATCTGAAAGCCTCGGATTCTCGAATCAGCTCGGGACTCTGGCCGATGAGCTTCAAGGCGTCGCTATACTGCTGGAGCCACATGGTCCCGGCCACGGCCTTAGCACACGCCGTATCGGTGATGCCCAAGAGCGCGGCCCCGTCATGCTTCAAGGAGAAAACCTCAGCGGGAACATGGTGGCACATCTCGACCTCCTTTGGCGCAGTCTTGGCGGCGCCCTGAGCCGATGTAGCATAGTTGGGGCACACCGGATCCCGATGCCAATGGCCCTTCTTCCCACAACTCCCGCAAAACGATCTGGCCTTCATCAACTTCACCTTCTCCTCGCGACTGAGCTCGCTCTTGCGAGCGTTTCCATCCTTCGCGGTAGGCGGCCCCCGGTCGCCTTGGTAGCCTCTCGCTTTGGTCTGTTCCTTGTACTTCTCCTTGGCGCTCTGGTAGGTCGCGTAGGCCACCGCTACGTCCTCTGGGACTCCGTCTTCAAGCTCTATGTCCTCGGTCGGGCCGAGGTCCTCATCACCAGAACCGCCGTCTCCGCCCGCAGTGAAGTGGGCGGTGTGGGGCTTGCGCGCCCTGCCATTCTCCCAGGGTTTCCGGTGCCCTCGATCATGTAGCACCGCTGCCTGCTGTAGCCGATGTAGGTTGTACTCGTTCCCGACGCTCGCCAGCAAGTTGAGCTCCTGGGCTTCTTCAAGCTGCAAACGGTCTATGTATAGCCATGCTGCACATTCTTGGGGGATGCTGCAGCCAACCTCTCGCAACCTGGCGTGTAGGCGATCGTATTCGGTGTTATACTCCCTGATGGATTGCCCCGCCCGCCTCTTAAGGCGCCGAAAGAAGTCCGAGAACGCCTTGCCGATGCGGGCCACCTCCAGGTCGAGGAACCTCGCGTTGATCCACGCGACGAAATAGCTCACCCCATCGCTCGATCCCAGGCGAGGGACCGAAAGTTCTTCGGCCGCAATCCACGCTTTGCCGCCCAGGTTCTGGTAGAGGACGAGTCCCTGCTGAGAGGCAGGGACGGGAGAAGCGTCATGCGCCTCCACGCCTCGATTTGGCGAAGATAGCTCCTTGCGGACCCACCAACATCCTCAGTGTCCTCGCCGGTAAAGGTAGGAATCGCCAGCTTCTCCGAAGCTCTTCCTCCGCCTGAGTAGCCTCCATGACCGCCTCGTTGACCTTGGAAGCCGCCATTGTCGTAGTGGGACCAGCCATTCCAAGCGAGCCCCTTTTCCTCGAAGACTCGCCCTTCGCCCCATGCTCCAGATCCTCGGTCAACATGATCGCCCCCTTGGAAACGGCCGGCTCGACCATCCGCCCAGGTATCTCCTTGAGCTCCCGGCCATCCGTGGTCGCGTGCTTGCCAATCATCGTCTCGAGCTCCTGTCCAAGGGTCACGACCGTGTGACCAAGGGTCCTCGCTGGAGTTGCTCCAGCGGTCAGCGGCCGCACCGGTCGTAGCAGTCGTCGCATCCCAGCTAGCGCGCCGTCCCCAGCCGATGCTCGCGTCAGTGTCCCATCGCTGACCGTACTGTGCTCGGTCGCTTCCCCACGACTGAGACTCACGATCTCCCCAGCGACTCCAAGAGGAGTCATTCCACTGATCATCACCGGCAGGAAGCTCTATAACATCGCCTCCCGCATCATCAAACTCATCATCGCCTCTTACAGCGTCATCGCCGTCAGGGGTGGTAGTAGCACTCGTGGTCGGGCCGTCATTCGGTCCGTGGCTAGCATGGTTCGGCATGGCACGAAGGATCTAACTAGCTCCGCTACCAATGTGAGACTGAATGTACGGGAGGCTCAAACTAGGGGGCACTACAGCACTCCCGACCCTGCCTTCGCACCAACGGTGCGCCGCTTTTCGCTTGACGCGCAGATGCCTTCGGAAACCTGCATCGAGAGAGGGGCTCGGGATCAGCACTTTACATACAGGGTTCGGCGAGACAAATCATACGATGAAGTACTCGAAAGGAAAGATGCTACCAAGCATAACAGTACCATCAAGTTTCACATTTAGGGTTTAGGGTTTAGGGTTTAGGGTTTAGGGTTCCCCGAAGCCAGGGTCGCTGGGTTTTAGGTTTGGTGGTTCAGGGTTTTCAGGGTTTCAGGGTTTGGAGTTTTAGGTGCGGGTGGGTTTGGGGTTTAAGCTTTAGGGGTTTGGGGGTGAGGGGTTGAAAGTAGGAGACTCAGAACTAGATTGGTTAAGACTGTACCATCCGCACTCTTGAAGTAAGTTGCTGACCATGGCTTTGCTGCATTCAGCGGCATTGTTCAAAGCTGAAGCCGAATCTGCTTTTCGAAGGGGGGGGGAGTTGGGTTTTAGGGTTTGAGGGTTTAGGGTTTAGGGTCTAGGATTAGGGGTGGGTTTCGGTTCCTTGTAACCATTGTATGGGCTTGGCGTTTAATCCGTTCGGGTTAGGTGTTTGCTCAAACTCATTCTTGTGGGTAGTATCATGACCCTCATCGCTGGACACCCGTGCGCAGCATCACCGTTATGGTTATGAGCATGGTCATGAATGTGAAAGGTTTACTACAATATAGGCTATGTACTTGATGCGTGAACGACAAACCCTGAGGCACGGGTGTCACAGGAAATGACTGAGCATGTGTGCCGACGATTAGGGAGACTGTGAAACAGTAAACAGCCCCAAACCCTGAACCCTAAACCCTAAACCCAATAAACACAAAGCCTTAAACCCAAAGCGCCAGCATTGTGTCACCTAGAATGGTCTGATGCGTGGAGTATGAACTGCGACCATGAGTAAGCTCAGCCCTGAACCTTGAACCCGAAGCCTTAAACCTTAAACCCGTGGAGGTTACAAGTTCAGGGTTTAGGCTTTTAGGGTGTAAGGTTAGTTTACGGCTTATGGTTTAGGGTTGGGGAGTAGCATCGGGATCCATTACCCCATTCCCTACTTGGAGGTTCGTGGGTAGTTTTAGGTGGGGCTTTCAGCCCCCGAATGTGGGTTATAGCTATAGTTTCCCTACTTATATAACTACCCATGAACCTCCAAGTAAGAATCATGGAGTCCTCTCCGAAGCCAGGTGCAAAAGCCCTTGACGACGGTCCAGTGAGTCAGATCAAGTGTGGCTGCGTGGGTGTTCTGAAAAGCAAGCCTAGGGCACCCTTGTTTCGGGGCCGTTATGCGGAATGTCCTACTACTTAGGGTCTGCGTTCGGGCCCCTGATTTTCTGAAACTCCCATGTGGCCGCAGTCCACAATGAAGCACACGTTTCGCGTCTAGGGCTGAGGCTCCATCACACAGACGGTGCTGTACGGGCCTTAATAATTAGAATAAAGTTTGGGGGTACAAGATACTATAATAATTATGGTAACGAACCCCAAAACCCTAGTTTGATGTTGATTAAGGCCCCGACATCACCGTGATCTAGAAAACCCAAGCAACTTCTTGCATTCAATGTACGCTTACCCCATCATACGGTAGGATGATGTAGGGGCGTGAATGACTTGAATGGGATTCTGGGAAATATCATACCCATCACGGGTTTCGATTATGAGTTACTCAGACCACTGTCATATGCGCTGTAAATCCGAGCCTCTTGATGAGACCGGCAAACCGAGCCAAATACCAGCCCATTTTTCTCACAGCGAATTCGCGACCTCTGCGACGATCAGTTGTTTCACCATACCTTCATGAGCCTTCTTCTGTGTTTCAAGAAAAAACCTAAACCCTCCATGCCTTACAGACACTGAAGCCCTGAACCCATAAACCTAAACCCATAAAACCCAAAAGCCTTCAAACACTAAAAACCAAGCCCCTAAACCCTGGTCCTTTGGTCGTCTGACCTTAAGCGGCCTGGCTCAGCAAACTCGTATCCTTCTTTGAGGGTTTCCGTTTGAACTCTCTTTCAGGCTTAGGGCTTTATGGTGCTAGCTCTTCGGGTTTGGATGTAGGCCCAGTGTAGGATTTGATGCATTGGCTTCAGAGAGAATCAAAGGATCCTGCTTCGCCGCTGTCACTCTAGTAAGTAGGAACTAGTACTAGAAATGCTACCACTACCACTGCCACTCCCACTGCGACTACTACCACTACTACCACTACTACCACTACTACTACTACTGCTACTACTACTACTACTGCTACTACTACTACTACTACTACTACCACTACTACTACTCGTACTCCTGCAGAGTTGTTGAAATCCCAAACAAAGCTTTTAAATGCTAAGCCTTAGAGCCCCTAAGCCCCCAACCCTTAAAACTCCAAGTCCCAAGGCCCAGACTCCAAAGCCTAAGCCCCCAAACCCAAAGCCCTACAGAGGGCTTTGGTTCTTTAAGGACTTTCACAAGGATTCCATAAACGTGTCCTACAAGTTTGGGGCAGATTGTGTGTTTGAGGTTACTGGTTCAGGGGCGGTAAGATAGCACTATTTGCATGATTTTGCTTATGTTTATCATCAAACATGTAATTTGTTACCAATGGAGATAGGATGCTCGGATCCATCTTATGTCGTAGGAAGGGTTTCGAGATCAGGGCGGGCTCAGCGCAACATGTTTGGGGTTTAGGGATGTCCATGTGGGTGGTTGTCAAAATTAGGGTCCCTTTTGGGTACCCTGTTGTAGTACGGCACCTAATATTTAAGGTACCCAAAAAGGGACCGTAATCTTGACAACCACCCACGTGGCAGATTTTGTTAAATGATCGCTTTACAGGGCCACTGTCGTTGAATGCCCTTGGAGAGACAGTTGAAATATCTCAAACCGTCTTTAGCAGCAAACAGCTTCATTATGGCTTCAAGTGAACCCTGAACCGTTCACGTTTGCCAGCTTGGCTTGAAGCTTGTCTTCCAGCAGGCAGCTATGCTCAAGTGCTATTTAGATGTGACACTAGCTGGCCGGTGGGAGGTTTGTGAGAGGCGCTGCGGTGCTGGATACCTGTTTTTGTGACAGTGTCGATCTCCCGAATTAAGCCCAGAACCCCACAATAACCCCTTCTGCTAGTTTTAACCCGTCACCCCTGAAGCCCTAAACGGCCAATATCCAGAGCTACATCCTACAACCGCAGACAACCGTAAAATAATCCGGCCCGCTTGAGTATGGCTGAAGCCCGAGGGATAAACGCCCGCAGCCGTTTGCGGGGCTCCCCTGGGTTTGCAGAAGGCCTTTAGAAGTCTCAGCTAGGCTTTCGGGTTTATGGTTTAGTGGAGGACAGGAGTTAGAACGTCGGGACGGGTTTTGGTCTTCAGAGTTGGAAGTTCCATTGACCCGACGCCCCCGGACTTGAAATCCTAAACCACAGACCCTCCACTTTAAACGAAAGCCGAGTATGTGAGTTTCCGAAAATAGGGGACCCCAATATAGTACCCTAAATACTAGGATCCTTATTACTAGGACCCCAAACTGAGGTACCCCTAATTTCGGAAACTCCCATATGCTGGGCCGGCACTGGAATCCGAACCAGCGGTCGCAAGCAACCTAACAGCTTTGATACCATTTTTCGAGCGGAGCTTCAGAACCACACGGGACCCTGGTTCAAATCGTAACTATAGCCTCCTTAGGAACATTTTTTTTAATTTTTGTTCATATAATACCCAATCCAAGACCTTATTCAAGGTGCTATAGAACTGAAACCCAAACTCTAAACCAAAGCCCTAGCACTCCCTAAACCCTAAACCCTAAACCCTAAACCAAAGCCCTAACACTCCCTAAACCCTAAACCCTAAACCCTAAACCCTAAGCCCTAAACCCTAAACCCCTAAACCCTAAACCCTAAACCCTAAACCCTAAACCCTAAACCCTAAACCCCAAACCCTAAACCCTAAACCAAAGCCCTAACACTCCCTAAAGCAGCTTTGAGGGTTTCAGCCAGGTGCCTTGGGGCGACGACGAGGCCACGACCATGGCGGCCGTGTCGCACCTGACGCCGTGGGCTCAAGCGTTTAGGAACTACTTAGGATTAGGGTTTTAGTGTTTTAGGGTTTAGGGTTTTAGGGTTTAGGGTTTAGGGTTTAGGGTTTTAGGGTTTAGGGTTTTAGGGTTTAGGGGTCACCTTGGGTTGATAACCCGGGAAGTCTGGTGGGGGATTCCAGGTTTTAGAAGTCTTTTTGTGAGGGGTTTGTTACATTTCATAGGGTTCCATAGGGAGTTGTTTTTTTGCCACAGGGCTTTGTAGGGTCTAGTTGAAGGCTCGGGGTTTATGACATGCCAGTCCCCTAATGAAATTACTGTATTACGAACCTGGGATATTACTTTGGCAGTATACCTGCATACCGTGATGCATGGATACTGCAACCAGGTGACCAATTTCGTTGGTTGAGGGGTGTTGTATGGTTCTGTAAGGGTTGTAATTATGAGTTCTATGAGCGTTTCACGAGGGTTTCGAGGTTTCGGGTTTGGGCTTCAAGGTTTGGGGGTTGGGTTTCGGATTCATCGTTTTACGTATCGGTTTACATTTTTTTGAGTTGGGTTCAGGCTTCCTCGTTTATGCTTTCGAGTTCGGACCTTCCGGCTTTTGATGTTCAGGGGTTGGGGTTTTGTAGGGTTGCCCCAGAATCCTTTCAGTCACCCGTGTTGAGCGCTATGCGAATCCATATGTTACATGGGTCAGAATGCGAGACCAGACTGGAGGGACGATTCGTCTCATTGCCTAAGGTATAAGGGGGTTTCCGAAAATTAGGGGTACCTTACTTTGGGGTCCTTACAATAAGGATCCTACTATTTAGGGTACCATACTAGGGTCCCCTGTTTTCGGAAACTCCCATAAAGAGTTGGACAACTCACGA